CTTTCTTTTCTTTCTTTATTTCTTTCTTCCTTTCTTTCTCTCTGTGTTAGTCTGTGTGTGTGTGTGTGTGTGTGTGTGTGTATGTATGTCAGTGGTGGGTTTCAAAATTTTTTGGAACCTCTTCTGTAGGTGTGGCCTGCTTTCTGGGTCCACTGGTGGAACCTCTTCTAACCGGGTTGATAGATTTGACGAACCGGTTCTACCGAATAGGTGCGAACTGGTAGGAACCCATCTCTGAACTGCCTACTGGCTTCCCATAAGCAGAGTCAGTGGGAAAGCCAGCAGGAAATTGCAAATCCCAGGTAGCTCACAAGCCAGCCTGTGGACTAGTAAGCAGCTCCCACATAGATGTACAGATGGTAGGTAAGGCATGAGAGAGGTGGCTGCTACTGGGTCAAGGGGGGTGGCTGGGGAGGTATAGCATGATAGTAGCTAGACTGGGACTACCTACTGATGCGTGAGAGACTTGCCAAAGTGACATATGACTTTCCCTGCCAGCTTCACCACTGACTTTGCTTGTAGGAAGCCACTGAGAAAGGTTGCAAATGATGATCATGTGATTGGAACAGTTGTGGGAGCCAATTGCTAAGCACCGAGATCACAATTGCATGACCAAGAGAGTGCTGGGATGTCTGGAACTCCAAGGACTGGTTGTAAGAACCATTTGTTCAGAACCATCATAATCTCGAACAGTCACCGAACAAAGGATTATTAATCAAGGACTATCTGTAAGACGCTTTTACAGGATTTTCCTACTGCGGTACCTAGATCTAGATGTAGCACGCCAGGCTTCAAAAGGTGAGGCTGGCCCCATCCTTGATGTCCTTCCCGCTTCTAGAAGTCCCTTAAAACTTGGCTATCTCAATAGGCTTGGGAGTCTTATAAGAATACAGATTTAATGAGGTGGCTATATCATGTATAACAACTACAGTAAAGCTCTCCCTATCCCTTCCTTTTTATAATAAAGTTTTAATTGTTGTGTGTTTTTATAATTATTGTCTTTAATGGTTTTATTGCATGCAGCCAAGAGTTGAGTTTTTGTGAAATAGGTAGCCTATATGATAAACAAATGAAATATTGTTTTCAAAATAATAATAATAGTATAGCAATAGCTGCTAGGCCGTTGTGCTCATGGCTACACCTACATCTGAGATAAATACAGCATGAACTTTAACTTATGCTAGCACTATCTGTTCCTCCAGGATTGTTTCAGATGTTAAGAATTAATGGCAAAAAGGAGCCAGATTAAATGACAGATACGTTTGCTCTTAAATGATATGCAATGCAAGTTAAAATGTATCCTTCACTGCTTCTATCCCTGAAGGACTTCTGGAAAAATAAGCTATTGCATATTCATTGAGAATGTTTCCCTGAGCACTCCTATTCTGTGGAGCATCCTAATAGCAGCAATAGCAATAGCAGTTAGACTTATATACTGCTTCATAGGGCTTTCAGTCCTCTCTAAGCGGTTTACAGAGTCAGCATATTGCCCCCAACATGCCTAAGGCAGAACTAGAACTCCCCGTCTCCTGGTGATTG